CCACTACTGGGCATATACCCTGAGAAAACCATAATTCAAAAAGAGTCATGTACCACAATGTTCACTGCAGCACTATTTACAATAGCCAGGACACAGAAGCAACCTAAGAGTCCACTGACAGATGCATGGAAAAAGAAGATTTGCCACATACATACAATGGAATATTACTCAACCATCAAAAGAAACGAAATTGAGTTACTTGTAGTGAGGTGGATGGACCTAGAGACTGTCATACAGAGTGAAGTAAGTCAGAAAGAGAAAAACAAATACTGTATGCTAACACATATATATGGAATCTAAAAAAAAGATTCTGCAGAACCAAGGGGCAGGACAGGAATAAAGATGAAGACGTAGAGAATGGACTTGAGGACACGGGAAGGGGGAAGGGTAAGCTGAGATGAAGTGAGAGAGTTGCATGGACATATATACACTACCAAATGTAAAATAAATAGCTAGTGGGAAGCAGCCGCACAGCACAGGGAGATCAGCTCGGTGCTCTGTGACCACCTAGAGGGGTGGGATAGGGAGGGTGGGAGGGAGATGCAAGAGGGAGGAGATATGGGGATACATGTGTATGTATAGCTGATTCACCTTGTTATACAGCAGAAACTAACACATCATAAAGCAACTATACTCCAATAAAGATGTTAAAGAAAATAAAATGGCCCCCAAGGAAAAAATAAATAAAAGTGTATACCTGGATCCTGTTTTCTAGGAATCTTGTTCTCTACCTCCTCTCTTGCTTTCAAGCTTCTAAAAATCTTAACATCTGTATCAGTCCTTCCTGGATTCTCTGATCTCTACACGAGGTTTCTTAGGTCCTGATAATTCTTGGCCATGTGACTTGCTTCCTTCCTCATCCATTTTCTGGCCATCCACTCTGAGCTGGAGGCCCCGCCACAGGGAAGTAAGATTCTAGCGTAGGACAGTTTTAGAAAGTGGTGACCAATGCTGACACACACTTACAAACTAAGTGGGTGGTGGCCTTGGAGATAGTAAAAATGGTCATTTCTACCTGGCTCCTGGCACATGGTAAGCACTAGGTTATTAGCTCGATGTTTAGAAATACTCTACAGTAGTAAATTTTTAATTTTATTAAAAGAATTTTAATTTTTTTTCCTCTTTGGCTGAGGACTGTTTGTACTGTCTTATTAAAATACTGTATCTGGAACTATTCTACGTTAAAGGAAACTGAAGATGCATGACGACTAAATGCACTGCTTATCCCTGGATTAAAAATAAAATAATTCTCAAGGCCATTCTTGGTACCAAGGGGGAGATTTTCATCTGGACTGTATATTAGTTAATAGTAGTGTATAAATGTTATATTTCTTGAGTGTGAGCAGTGTATTGTGGTTATAAGAATGCCCTTGTTTCAAAATATGGAGTGTCATAATGTAACTTACTTTAGGATAGTTCAGAAAAAATTCCATCTCTGTATCTATAGGGAGAAGTACACACACACACACACACACACACACACACACACACACACAGAGTAGCACAGAGAATGTGGCAAAATGTGAACAACGGAAAACGTAGGTGACAGGTATATGAGTGTTCATTATGTTATTCTTGCGTTTTTTCCGTAGCTTTGAAATTTTTCCATAGAAAAAGTTGGGGAAAAGCAAAAAAGATTAAAAAATGAAATACTTTGAAACTACCGTAAGTGATTTTTAAAGAAAAAGTCAGAGAAGAGAAGAAAGAATTGACAAATCAGTTCTGAAACCAAACACAAATACTTTTTATTTATGGGGTATCGTTTTACATCAATTCCATTAAAACCTAAAACCAGTTTGCTGTACTCAAGTTAGATGGCATTAACAGTATTTCAGTTAAGCTGGGAGTCACAGGACTTGCACACGTTTATGAAGGTAATGCAAATACTGACGACACGAAGCATTCACAGTTACAGGTTAGCTGCTGTTCACTGACAGTAACCCCCAAGAGAAATGACTTCATGAAAAAAAGCAACCCACGTTTCGGTCTCATTTACAGACACCCAACCTTTCAGTTGGTCAATGAATTCTATACATTTATTATACAATGTATGAAAGAATAAAAGATAAGGCGTACAGAGGTATTTTAGCAGTTGTAAGAATAAAAACCAAGGGCACAAACTAACTTTTAAAGCTTCCTGTATAAACTTCAAAAGCACTGTTAAGATGGAGACTGAGAGGCAACAGAAGTTTGTTGTTAATCCAGAATCTAGAGGTCTGTCTAGTCAGATGTATAAAAACTTAATTCAGAGGTCATGCTTCAAATAAGTTGCATGTAATGTTATAGAAGGTATTTATGGCAAATCAAATAAGGAAATTTCCAACCTACTGCAGCAGTAAACATCTAAAAGTTTCATTCTATTATGACAGGGTATTGCAACGTGGAGTTCAAAACATGATGGAAAGAGAAAGGGGGGAAACGTAGGTGAGAAAGAAAAACCAGAAAAAGGCACCCTCGTTCACTTGGCATTCACCCATAAACAAGTGCTTATGTAACTGAGGGACATTTTTAAGAAAAAGTGTCTTATTACCCTGGCCCCTCTTCTTCCCCTTAAAAATAACTGCACAGAATCAAGAAAACCAAGGGCAAGTACTCTGCAGTCACAAAGATTTATTTTCCAAGGGAGTTCAAAGTAATCTTGGACTTCTCTAAATTCAAAGTAATCTTGGACTTCTCTAAATACGCAAGATTATCCCTTTGGAATACTTATTTCCGTATTAGGTACATCATGAAATAGTTTTCACTATAGGGGTTTTCCAAAACCCCTATCATCAAAATGTCCATTGTGGTTAAAATGTAACATCTTCCCTGTAACAATCCTTTTATTTTAGGATTAACTGTGCTTTAGTGTTTAAAAGAGTCTCCAGTTTCTAACAATACCTTTTAAACCAATTTCATCTATGATTTATATTTGCTTTAAACAAAACTAGAGTTGATCATATTTAAGAATTGCTGCCTTTAAAGTGTAATTTTTTAACTTTATTGGATCCTTTTGAAAATGACTCAAGTTTTCAACAGATTGGAACCTGCCTATGGCCAATCGCCACTGGAGTAGCAGGCGCCTGTCAGAACAGAAGCCCTTTCAACGCGTTGGTCTCAGGAGCAGTGCTTGCTCAACATCTTCTATCCTTTGCAGATAGGAATTTGTGCAAACTGGTGCAAACTGGTGTGAATGTGTAAGGTAGAAGGGAGTCTACAACTTCTCAACAAGGAATGGTTAAGTATGCTTAATCACTACAGAGTTTTTCCAACTTCTGGTTTATTTCACAGCAAACCAAACCTTTCTATTCGGTAGAAAAAGGAAGTAACTTCATTCTACCATACCATGATTTTGTATATGCACACACACTGTATATACATATAAAATTCCTGTCTTTGGTGGTTCAGTTAGGGAAAAAAATAATATATGAAAATCTGAACACTGTTGGCAAAGAAACTGTGAAATCATGGTCAAGAGTAGCACTGTCTGTGTGCTTTACTCATTTAATGCCATTTAGAGGTTCACATTTGACCCAAAAGGTTTGGGGGCCAGATTGTGAAATAATCGGAACCTCTTCCAACCGCTGCACGTTCAATCATGGATTTTGCTCACAACTAGGCATTCACTTGTTTAAATGCACCATTAGCTTTCACTTGGTTTAAGTCGTTAGACTTTTGTGTTTTCACAAAACTTTAGGGACTAAATTAGTCATTCAATAGCACCAGATAGTTGACGGAGAAACATGCTATTTATACATTTCCTTGAGAAGGGTAAGACAAGGGGGGGAAAAAAAAAGACATAAAATACAAACCTAAAACTACCGTCCTGTTTACTCTTGTTTCCTCATGCACATAAATAACGGCTATCACCTCTCCGTACACATTACTCAGGTAATGATGAGCGGCCCCTCCAGGAAAGGTCCTACCATGTAATAGAGATTTTAGCTCAATGCTGGTGGTGTCGTGTCCACTGCCTGCAATGGACATTCTGCCAGTAAAAGCCTAGCATGAAAGAAACAAAAATGGAAAACAAAACAAAACAAAACACCTCTCACTTACAGTATAGTTCTTTTCCCCTCAAAACTAGAGAATTAAACACCATGAAAGCTTAACTAAAAATTCAAGCCACAACTAAAAGTGCTCTGCAGTTATAAATTGCCAGCAAACCATTAGGTTATCATGGAGGCGGCAAAATAAATTTTACTTAGAATGGCATAGAAAGCATCAGCAGACCAAACACTAGAAGAATGCACAAGAAAAAAAAAACAAAAACACTAAAGAAGTTTACAAAAGTTTAAAACCAATGAAAAAAAAAAGATGCAATTTTAATTTGTTCATCTGTACCTATAGTCAAACAATGCTAGCTTTCACATTAGAAAATCAAAACCTATACCCTGCATGGTGGAAATGATTTGTGGCATTGTATGTTCAATTATTCTAACTTCCATCATTTAAAAATGCTAATATTTAGGTAAACCAAATTAGATTTGGCATATGCCTCTGAAAAGTTATGACTCCCACCTCCTTCCAAAGTTGGCCTCTTAAACAATAAGGTTAATTCTGGCAACATTTGCATATGGTAACAGTTGTTCTGTCTTGTTTTCTGAAATGCTACATTTGAGACCAAATAAATGTATAATTGGTTCACCTGAAAAAAGGGACTAGAAATATGCCACAAAAATTATTTTACAATACATTTTTGCAGAAATAATCTCTAGGTGAAGCTTCTTCTTTTTATACACATATACAAAATTTAAACAGCAATATACACATAATCACAGTGAGGACGTTGGCAAATTCACCAATCTGTAGTGTAAATACAAACTGCAAAGCAGCCTTCCAAGAGAACAATGCTACACAGCAAGCAGAGCTGGCCCATTCAATAGCAAACACCAACACGTCCCTGCCAAAGGGAGACAGTGCAAGAAAAGCAGCATGCGCTTGGATACAAACAGCAATTTATGGCTAATGGTTGACATAACTGTGCTAACAGTGAATCTCTCGCTGCTATGCATAAAGTCCTAGGACATCTGTTTGTCTTTATACCATTCCACAAACTCGTCCAACAAAACTGGCCCTGAAGAGAGAGAGAACAACACGGCTATGAGGCTTCTCACAATGAGGCAGATGAGCAAATGTGCAGGGGCCGGGGGAGAGCGGGGGAACACCTGCCCCGTACTTACATGCTCCATCTTCATCGTAGTTGCTGAGGTCAAGGTTAATTGTTCTGCTAAACTCTAGCACATTGCACCACTGGTCTTTGTTAATAACTTTATATTTTGATTGCTGGTGGAGGGAAAAGTAGTATGAATTACTGACACACACAATTAACAAATGAGATGGTTTCAATTGCTGTAACAATCAACTTAATAAAGTTCACAAAGGTTAACTCTTTCCATGTGAGGTAGTTAAGCACCAATCTAACCACTGGACCACCAGGGAAGTCAGCACTAGTCTAGGAGAAGGGTGAGAGAGAGCAAGAGGGGAGCTTCAGATGACAATTTTCATTACAAAAATATTACGGGGGCTCAACACAAAACAACAAATACATCAAAGAAACACAATTTTACATCCCCAGAAGTGAAATTTCTAAACTGGCAGAAACCCTTTTACATAAAAGAGCGATAATTCCTATCCCACAGAGATGTGGCAAGGATTTAAAGAGATAACTTCTCTAATTCACGTAAAGTACTTTATTTAGTGCTTGGCACACAGTAAGTGCTAAATAAAGAGTTGCTCCCATTAATAGCCCCTGACATGAACGGCATGCTCACTGTCAACTGTTAGCTTACAGCGCACGCAGTGGTGGGCTGACTCAACGAGACCTCGCTAAGTGCTGCAAGCGGTCTCAGGACCAGGCGGTCTAGCCACTGAAGAGTTACTGCTCTAATAATTCACAACTTGAGTCTGATCATAAAAGAACTCAGAATAGCGATGAACTAGTTTTTCTCTTCCTCCCAGACAAGAAATATGCCACATGCGTATTTTAAAATACAGTATTCCTGTATAAAGATTTAAAAGTAAAACCCAGTCCAACAATGTTTAAAAATCCTCGCCACTAAAATCAGGAATACTGGAAAACAAAACAAGTACTTAAAAGCAAAGAGAGTGCACCAACCGTTTGGAGGATGCAAACACAAGAAAAGCTCAAATGAAAGGATTATTGTGCCCTTTTCAAAGAAAAATGCAAACTAATATAAGAGAGATAACAAAGCACAGACCACAAGTTTAACTTTCTAAGCAACTAAAAGCAAAACCCAGTCACCGAAACAGTTGATGGTGCTCCTGGAACTGTGCGAAGTCAAATTTGCTGGCGGCAAGGTCTTCAGCTACAGAACCCTTCACACCCAGGCTCAAATTCTGCCCAACTCTCTGAGAATAGGAACCTGTTTCTACTCATTTTCCAAACAAAGCTAACACTTCTTGGGCTTCCCTGGTGGCGCAGTGCTTGAGAGTCCGCCTGCCGATGCAGGAGACGCGGGTTCGTG